TATGGACAGTGATCTTCCTCTCTTTTGTTGCCCCTCCACCTTTCCAAGTATGTGTCTCTCCAAGGAATACCCTCTCCTAGCAACATGCCCGAAGTATGTAAGATGAAGCTTTTTCTTCTTTGCCTCTGAGGCACTCTGGCTGTACTTTCTCCAAAAAATACCTGTTTGTCCTTTTGGCAGTCCATGGGATCTTCAGAATTCTTAACTCTCCGGCACCACAGTTTAAAGGCAACAATTCTGCATCTGTCATCCTTAGTCACTGTCCAGCTTTCAGATGCGCAGCAAGTGACTGAAAAGGCCATGGTGTGATTTGGACACACTTTAATCCTCAAACTGACAATCATGGCTCCTCGGTAATTTGGAGGGGTCTCTTACTACAGACTTAGCCAGTGCAATACGTCTCCTGATCTTCTGTCTTCTTGTACTAAGTGTATTGAGATTATTAATGCAAGCAAGATGAAATTGTTAAAAACTTCAGCCTTTACCTATGATGATGCCAATTGGCCTGTGGGTGAGAATCTTTTCTTTTTGAAATGCAATCCATATTGAAGTTACTATTCTTGACATTGTGCAACAAACACTTTAAGCTCTCCTCAGTTTTCATGAACAAGATTGTGTCATTTTCATAATGCAGGCTGTTGATGAGTCTTCTCTCACTCCTTAAGCCCCATTCTTCATAATGTCCAGCCTCCTGGATGACCTGTGCTGTGTCTGTATGTACTGTTAGGAACATATAATAATACCTAGACCTGTACACATCTAAGATATAAAGTAATTGGTAACACTTGCTGAAACTGAGGAGGACCTGAAGAACTCGCTGCAGAATGCCAAGGACTGTAGTCTTTGATATGGATTGAAGCTCAACATAAAGAAGACAAAAATTCTCGCCACTGGGCCAAATGGCAGCACCATGATAGATAGATGGTGAACAGATTGAGGTTGTTAACAGTTACAGCTTGCTCAGTTCCACAGTCAACACTCTTGGCACCAATCATCAAGAAATTAGAAGACAAATTGCATGGGGAAAATATCCTGTCAAGAACCTCTCCCGAGTATTGAGAAGCAGTGATGTCACTCTACAGACTAAGGTGCACCTGAATGGTTTCTTTGTTGACAGTTAATGGATTACTACTGTATGAGACTTCTATTATCCTATGTATTGGGGATTCTGGTGGTGTAGTGGTAAAAGAAGCTGTATTGCAATCCCAAAGGCATGTGGTTCAAATCAGTCAGGTGCTCCACAGCAGTAGGATGTACAATTCCTTACTCTCTTCCCTGTCCACTTTATTGTTGTTGTTGTGTGCTTTCAAGTTGAAATTGACACTTGAGTTTTCAGAGGCAGGGAGATTGCCCATCCTCTCAGAACAGCTGGTGGATTCAAACCATGTGGTTTGTGAATTGCAGCATAGCGTCTTGACACTAGACCACCAGGGCTCTCTCTCTGTGCTTTACTGCTTCTGCGAACCCACTGGAGGGTCAACTATGGGACAGTTCCAACTAATGGGTACAACAATAATCCAACAATCATTTTGACAATATGAATTCTTCAGTGTGAAATCTTACCACTTATTGAGGTCCTTAAAACTTTCAGCAGTATTATTAACAGTGCACATTTTACACCTCTTTTGTTCTGTTTATTCTTAAGTATTCTTTTTGTTGCTAATAGATGAAATTTTCAGTTTGGTGTTTGGCTGGCAAAAGACCTATAATGATACTTTGTTTATTTGATAATGAACCTTGCTGACCTGACTTGATAGTTTTGTGAATTCTTCAGGATTTTCAGTGTATAAAGTTACTTACCAAGGGAAGTATTTTTATTTTTTCCTTTTCAGTCTGGGAGCTTTGTATTTTTTTTTTCCTTGCTTAATTGTCTAGGTCAAACCTTCTAGTTCATTGCTGACCAGAAAAGTGGACAGTCTTCTTTTGTTTTGAGCTTAGAGAGAAGAATATTTAGTCTTTAACATGAACTACAATGTTTTTGGTTTTGGATTATTCTTAGATATCCTTTATCCAGGTAATTGGTGCCTTTGACTATTGGTAACTGTATCTGTTGAGGACAGCTCTACCAGTTTTTATCATAGAATGCTAGAGCTGCTAAGTTTTTTTACTTTTATGGGTTTGTTTTTTTTTTAAATTTAAAACCATATTTTATTGAATTAAACTGTTCTGCTGAAAATATTACACGTTGGTTCAAGTGAAAAAATTAGAAAGTGATGATTTGTTTTAATTTTTAATAAAGTTCAGCAGAAATTGATTAGATGTATTCAGGGGACATGTAGCAACAAAACTCTCACTATTGTTTAATATTCGACGCTTTGACAGAGGACGCTCTAGTTTTTGTGTTCTAGTCCCTTGGTAATTCAGATAGTTAATTCTCTCTTAGAGGTGCCTCGGAAGAAAGAGCTGGAAACTGATGAATAATTCTCTCCTCATACTTGAGATTGCCATAAATTGGAATTAACCTGCAACTGGTTGATACTTTTTTTTTTTACATTTGTGTACTAAAGACTTAGTAAATTGTACTTAGTAAACACTTAAAATTACATGTTAGAATATACAATTTATTAAGTGAAGAGTCCCTGTTAAGCCTTTCTCTATTTCAGTGCCACTGGGAATCTTTCGGATTATTCTGTCTTGCTGTTCTCAAACATTTTGATCTAAGGACACATTTAAACTAAAAAATTAGCGTAGAACCTCAGACATTTTTGATTAAAGGGATTATAGCTGCAGAGTTCAGGAAAATTCAGTTTTTTAAAATAATTAATCCTGTACTTTAAAAAAATATTTTTTTAAAGCGTATTTTGTAAATGTCAGTGAGAAGAAGCGTATTTTGTAAATGTCAGTGAGAAGAACAGCTTTTAGGGGACGGATCATTGTAGTAAATGTATTTAATGTCTCACGTAATTGAACATGGTTGAATTAGCATAGCTGCTTCTGACCCTCCAGAAGGTTTTCAGAGGTAGTGAATCTCGTGGGAGAATATTACCCATCGTTCTCCTGCAGAGCAGCTGGTGGATTTGAACTGTGTGCCTTCAGGTTGGCAGCCCAGTTCCCTAGCCTTCTCCATACACAGTTGGAAAAGTGAGAAGTTAATAGTCTTTCAGATTTCAGTAGATGCTTTTATTTTGATACTGCTGCAAAACTGTCTAGTTTTTTAAAATTTAACTCTGTAAAATGTGAAATAGTATCAGTGAGCTTTTCAGTATACATTACAATCTGTTGGTGTTTTACACTTTGAGTGAATCTTTAATACCTCTGTATGATTTTGTAACATACATTGATGATGTATATTCACTGGGTTGTGTAGATTTGTTTAATATTGACTCATTTCACTGTGCTAACACAGTATCTTTTAGCACACATTTACAGTAGAAATTACTTGAAAAGTATTAGGTGCTTATAAAACAATGTCCAATTCTTGCTTGAAATTTTAGATTTATCACTGATATATACATTATCAGTTTTTCTTAAAGTAACAGGCTCATTTCATTAAAATTTTTTTTTTTTTGAGATCATGTCTAGTATATAACTCTAAAGCATTTGTTTTGGAGACTTTGCAACTTTGAGAAGCAGCAGAAGTATTTTCTTTATGGCTCCTATTTTTTTATATGATGATGTTGTGTGCCATTGGGTTAGAATCGACTCATTGCTGACTCTCCAGGTTTTCAGAGTCTATAGGTTTACAGACTTGGAAGAAATTGCCCATCCTTGTGCTGTGGAGAGGCTGGTGTATTTGAACCTGCATGCCTTTGAGTTTGCACCACAACTGTTATCACTTGGACACAAGAAAGAACTATTTATTCAGAGTTGATATTTTCTAATTAAAATTTTTATTGCCTTATTAAACATAAGTGAAATACCTTTTTAAAAATGAACAAACAAAATCACAATAAAATAAACTCAAAACCCATCCTGGTAAATTATAGTGTGAAGAAAACTGATGACTTTGAGTCCAGTTTGATGAATACATTGCTTTGTGCTACAATGCCAACAGTAGTATGTACTATTGTTTTGCACTGTCATTGTAAATGTCAGCACAGTGGAAAAACAAATGAGTTATATTCTTTTTAAAATACCTGTGGCATTTTGGACCACATTTTGAGAACTGCTGCTCTCGTTTCTAAGATTGATGGATTAGGGATGAAAAAAATAATTGCAATTTCACACTCCCCTTAGCCACATTATTGACTCCTGCCAGTAGGTTGTACTTTGTGTTTGGGGGAAAATGGTTGGGATTCCTGTCTCTTGTGTTTCCTTGAATTTAGTTTATACAACTTCCATCTTATTTTAGTGATAAAATAGAAAGAGAAAGGTATGAAAAGTATTTGTATTAATTTAGCGAATGAATAGACATGAAAGGTACATAAGAAATATTATTTATAGATACTTGTTATATAGCATTTGTGATAATTGCCTTTAAGTGAAATTTTGGTTAGTTGCTGTAGTCACAAAATATGATCAGAAATGTGATTCCATAAGGTTTTCACTGGCCAGATTAGAAGCAGATTGCCTCGTCTTTATCCTAGTTTGTCTTATAGTCTGCAAGCCTCCATGAAGGCTGTTCAACACTGCATTAACGTACAAACCCCCACTAAAAGAGAAAAAAATGATGACGTCTACATTTTCAGGTACATTTGGCCTGAAAATAATTATCTGAAACGAAAAAACTAAAAGAAAAAATGCTGTTTCACTGCTTTCCTGTCATTTACCGGTGAAATAGATCTGGTGACACAGTGCTTAAGCATGAGGACGTTAACCTGAAGGTTTCCTAGACTGTACTCTTAACAAGCCGATTTGTTCTTCCTGTGCAGCTAGGAAATGGTTTTGAATTGTTGACCTAGAATTACTAGGACTCCCTCCAGTGGAATTTACTCAGTTTCTTAATTTTCTTAGCATTATCTCATGTAGATGAAGCCACATTTACTCTAATTATGCTTTGTCCATAAAGTTGTAAAACTACATGGAATTACTTAAAATTTTTTAAAATGTTTTGCTTGTAGGATACAGTGGTCCCAGTTTAAAGGCTATTTTATTTTCAAGCTGGAGAAAGTGATGGATGATTTCAGAACTTCAGCTCCTGAACCAAGAGGTCCTCCCAACCCTAATGTTGAATATATTCCTTTTGATGAAATGAAGGAAAGAATACTAAAAATTGTCACTGGATTTAACGGGTATGGTATGCACTTAAACTATTTGGTATGTTTTTAAGTTTAGATGTGTTTTACTATTTTTAAAATTGATTCTTTACTAGGATTGCAGATTGCTTCAGGTACTACTAATTTTTCATTTATGAGTATTTAAAATCTTCACAGGATTATTGGATTTGATCACCTCATGAATGTTAGTGACTTTTACAATAAATGGGTATAACAGTAGAAACGTTCATTTCTTGGGAAATATTTTAATATTCTTTGTTGTTTGATGTTATTGTTAAGTGCCATCTAGTCAAACCCAGTTCATAGAGTCCATGAACAAAAGACCTGAACCCTGTTCTGTACTCCTTTTTCTAAGTACATAGAGTCAGGAGAATAATGGTAGGCTCAGAAAACTGATGGAGGGGTTACTCTGAATTAGAATTGTCTAAATAGCAGTATGTTTTGTTGGTTGTCTCCTTTTCCAGCCTGGGTGGAAGTGAAGTGGATGTACATTAGCTACATTAGCATTTGGTCATTATTTCTTTTAAAACCGGGGTGGACACACCCCAAACAAAAACCATCAACTTGTGAAATTCTTAGATTTTTATTAAGAACTTAGTTTTCCTTTCCCCATCAATAAGTAACTATTTTAAATTTATAAATCATTGCACTGAAAAAACTGTTTTTCACTAAAAGCTAGGAAGCTCTGATAACATTGTGTTAATTTTATAGTGTTGCAGTACAGGTAGCTCCCAGTTTAGAACCTAGTGAAGTTATAACAAGTTGAATTTAAAATCTTCAACCATCCATGGTTTTTTGTTTGTTTATAGCTATCTTATTGCTAGTTATGTGTACTACATGCAGTGTTTAAGTGCATATTTGCATACACACCTATTCTTAAGCCAGTCCCCAAAGACAAAGGTCAGATTTATAAAAGAAGTTCTGGAATCCAGAATTAAGGTTGCATAGAGAAGTGTACTTGGGGTGGGGAGTGGGGGTAAAGGGATGGGGGAATTGTATACTAATGAAAGATTTTTTTTTCCTTTTCAGAGAGGGGAGCAAACTGGTGGGTAGGGGTTGGCAGGGAGAAAAGTACGACAATGAATGAATGGAAATCCAAAACCTCTGTAAATGTTTATTAAAATTAATAAAAAAAGGGGAAAAAAAGAAGTTCTGGTGGCTTCGTGGTAAGGAATTGCGCTGCCTCTGACAGCCTGCTGTAGGGTAAGCTGTGGATTGATTCCTGCTCCACTTAACAACAACAACATGCCATCTAAGGATTTAAAAAGATATGGATGATGATAAAATATAATAATAATGATGATGATGAAAACTTAAAAACAAAGTATTTGATGAACTTGTCAAAATAGAATGTCATTGTAAGCTGGGGCTACCTGTACTAAATTTAATGACCTGTGGGTAATTAATTGTGAATTCATAATTGTTACTGTTATGGGCCATCAATTTGGAATGGAAACAACTTAACTTTCCAGCTAATATTCAGGTAGAAGTTGACTTCAGCAGGAATGATGGGGGCTAATTACCTATCATTCTCCCGCGGAGCAGCTGGTACATTCAAAACTGAGCCTTTGGGTTGGCAGCATAACCTCCTCAACACTAGACTGCCAGATGGCACTGAAAAGAAATAATGTTTTACACTAAAATAAAGCTATTTTTATTTTATTTGATTAGCATTTTTTTAGACCACCAGAGCTTCCCTAAATTAATAATTTTTGTTATGTAGTGTTGAGTCAGCGCCAACCCATAGCTGACCCTCTGGCAGGTTTTCAGAGGCAGTAAATCGTAAGGGAGGAGATTGTCCATCTTGCCCATCCTCCTGTGGAGCATATAGTAGATTCAAATTGTGTGCCTTCAAGATTGCAGCGCAGCTTCTTGCCACTAGACCACCTGTAGAGCAGCTGGCAGATTCAAACTATGTACCTTCAGAATTGAAACACAGCTTCTTCACTTGCCCACCAGAGCTCCTAATTAATTCATAATTGGGAGTAGCTTATTTGAAGGAGTTTCAATTTTCAATATTTTTAAGTTGCATACGTTGCCTTCTTTTTTGCTTCACATATTTAATCACAAGTAAATTTATAGTAACATCTCAGTGATACAGATTACCCTGTTTTACATTCTCTATGTCTAAGGTTAGGACTATTTCTTAAAATGGCAATTTGTATACTTGTTTGTAAGTCTATTATAAATTAACTTTTGCTAAGAATTTTCATAGCGCTTTTTTTTTGAGATCCATCTGTTATAATTGGCCCTGGAGTCTAGTATGGGAAGGAGACTGGTACTGCCAAAAATTATTTAATTTTGTGTACACATTTCCTTTTCAATACTAAACAAACTCATTGCCATCTACTTAAAACTGACTCATAGATGACTCTCCAGGAATGTTTCAGAGGCTGTTAAGTACACAGGAGGAGATTGCTCACTTTTGGTTTAGCTAGGTAACTTTCTACATTATTCACCACCAGATGTTTCAATTCTAGGTAATTTTTAATCTCTGTATCCGGGAAGAGAAATCACATGCTGTGTAATAAAAGACTTAGTATTGATTGAAAGAGATGTATTTAAGAATCCTCTTGGAAATGTTTCTGTAATTCTAGTTTTTGTTATGTACCATCGAGTTGACTTTGACTCAGTGATCCTGTGAACAACATCTCTGAATTTTGGCCAGTCCTGCACCAGCCTCAGTGTTTCTGTCCTGTTCCATCGCCACCATTACTGTGGCAGTCCATCTCATCCATAGTCTTCCTCTCTTCTGCTGACACTCCACCCTTCTAAGCATGATGTCTCTCTGCAAGGATTGGCCCTTGTATATTTCTTCCATGCTCAAAGCATGTGAGAGAGTTTCAAAATCCTTTCCTCCAAGGAGCAACTTGGTTTCACCCTCTCTAGGACAGACCTGTTTATTCTCTTTGTAGACCGTGGTATGTACGTTACTCTTCCTTTAGCACCACAACTCAAAGGCAGTGAATCTTCTTTTGTCATTGTCCAGGTCTCAGGTGCATAGGAAACAGATGAGAAGACCTTAGTTAGGATCACACCTTAGTCTCTAGATTCACTTTGTTATTTAACACTTTTCAGAGGTCTTTGATAGCAGATTTTTTTCAGTGTAGTAGGTCTTTTGACTTCCTGATTGCTGGTGCCAGGGGTATTAATTGTGGTTCTGAGCAAGATGTAATTGTTAACACTCTCAATCTCTTCTCCATCTGTTATGATTTTGCCAATTGGCCTGGTGATGAGGATTTTTGTTTTCTTGATGTTGAGATGCAATCCGTATTGAAGGCTGCAGTCCTTGATCTTTTGCAGCAAACACTTCAAGTGTTCCTGTGTTTCACTGAGCAAGGTTGATAATCTTATTAGATAGTAATTAAAATTTATGATGATTCTTTTATTTGAATAAATTAATGGGTCCAGTAGTGTTAAGGGGAAATAAGCAAATTAGACCACTGCTTTGAGAATATTACGCTAATTTACTTGTGTTTCTGAATTGTTTGGTATCATCGAGTTGTCTACACCTCAGCATGCTTTTGAACAGCAGATCTGAACCTTGCCCTGTTTGATGCCATCCTCATGTTTTCTTGATTAGACTTTGTTGAGTGCCGTCAAGTTGGAACTGGAACTGACCCACACTGAACCTCCAGTGAGTTTTCAGAAGGTTCCTTTCCTTCAGAGCAGCTGGTGAATTTAAACTATATGGTTTTGGGATTGCTGCACAGTTTCTTATTACTGGGTAGGCTGTGAGAGCTTTATTGAATAAAGATTAGTTGTATTTTTTGGTTTGTTTTCCTTTTAGATATCTTCTCTTTGTAGTGATAAGGAAGCTCTGTTGGCATAGTCCTTAAGAGAATTGTGCTGCTCTTCTCTGCCATTTCCAATTCACCAATGGCTCTACAGGAGAAAGGGAGGCAGCCTTCTCCTGTATGACTTAACAGACTTTGGGAAACCTGCTAGAGAGTCAGTTGTGAGTTGATGAAAATGAGTTTGAGTTGAAAATTGTGGTGGGTAGAAGTAGCATTTTTGGGTGTTTTGTTGTTGTTGTTTTGCTTTTTAGTATTTCTCCTGTCTGATACATACCTTTTTCTAATAAGAAAATAGCATTATGATGGTGGTGTTAAGATACCATAGAGTCACATATGGCTCATAACGACCCATCAGGTCTGACCCCTGCCCTATCCTATGCCATCCTTATCTTCCCTGATACATTTGAGCCCATTGCTGTAGTCACTGTTTTAATCCATCTTACTAAGCGTTTTCCTCTTTTGTTCACCCATGCATGACCTTTCCAAGGAATTGCCTCTTAACAGCATGCCTAAAGTGAGATGAAGCTTTGCCCTCCTTGCCTCCAAGGAATACTCTGACTATATTTTCTCCAAGACATATTTGTTAGTTCTTTTGATAATCTGTGAGATACTTTGTACTCTTCTCCACCACCAACCAAAGGCATGTGATTCAAATATGCCAGCTGCTTCATGGGAGAAATGGGCATTCTCGTTCTGTGTCCTCTAAAACCCACTGGAGTGTCAGCTATTAGTTGGTAATGATTCGATGGTACATAACAGCAACAATAAATACTTAAGTTCTTTTATGTTTTAATTTTCTTCTAAAATTACTTTTGAACTTTAACATTTTGTAGAAAGTGGATTATAGCTGCTCTTCAAAGAGAAGTTATATTTTGAAGAGAAACTCAATAAAATATATTTATTACCGTTTTATGACCACTGTTTGTGATGATAATAAACCAATGTATGAACTCACTTAAGTTAGGGCTTTTATTAGGGCTGTTTCATTGATACCGTGCTACTTTAGGAACTACTGGTAGGTAGGTATAATCTGTCTTGGCACAATGGTTAAAGAATTTCTCTGCTAACCTAAAGATTGACAGTTTGAATTTGCCAGCCACTTTGTCGAGAAAGAGGAGAATGTTTACTTCTGTTAAAATGTACAACTTTAAAACACAATGAGTAGTTCTATTCATTATCATAGGATTGCTTTGATTCAGAATTAGTTCATTTGTAATG